TTATTTTATTACTATTTTATTATTTTAATATTTTTCTTCATTGCTATATTGTTTCAATATCTTATTTTATTACTATTTTATTATTTTAATATTTTGTTTCATTAAAATTTTGTTTTAACATTTTATTTCATTACTATTTTACAATTTTATTATTGCAATATTATATGATACTCATTTCCTCATACATAATAAGTTAAATAACATACCATTACGAAATCTTCACCGTTCACGATATTTTGCATTTTTATTTGACAAAATTGATCACGTTGTCTTTTAAGGGGTTAAAGAAATTGTTCCATAAATATTGCTCAATAGATCTTCGAATAATATTCGCAAAATATGGCATAACAGATCTCAGAATATTAGTGAAATATTGCTTATTAGATCTTGCAATATTAGTAAAAAATTTGATAATAAGTTGTAACACGTACACGAGGTTTGGCACGCGAATGAAAGTGAAGAATCCCGATTGTTACAGTAAATCACAGCAGATTGCTTGATCCGATAGCGTTGCACTGTCATCTATGCTAACTCTTTCACAAGCATTACTAATGGCTCGTCAGATATATGACTGACGGAAACGTTAGGAATGATGTGATACCGGCGTTGGATTATGTCAAAACGTGCTTTACAACGTGTGCGTTAAAAAACGAGGAGGAAATGGATACTTCTTTATCATACTTAAATTAAGTGAAGGATATTGCACCGCTGTAGGTATTTGTAAATTCATGTTTCTTTGTGTATGCCATGTAATTACATAAAAATATTTTATTATTCGAGGAAACAATGTTTGGTGAACGAAATTTATAAACTGGTTTCATGTTTGTTACAAAATATTTATCTAAGAGTTACATAGACATTCTTACAATTAGTTTTAAATTACCTATTATGAAATATTTGAAGATTTCTAATTTTATGTTCGATGGTTTTATTGTAATTATTGATAATAACTGCAGATTATATTGATGCTTAGAATTATTTATAACAATTGTAATTTATACTAATGTTTCTCAATTTATAATTTTGTTATGCTTGTTATACTTAAATGTTATATTTGTTACATTTAAACTGTGACACTCATTCGAATTAATATTCTAATTTCTTTAATTAAAATAAGTTCATGGTGAAGTTTGTGAATTTTGTATAATAAGTTAATGTTAATTATTTTGAAATAATATACCACATAATTTGTTACAAGCTTAATATTATTTGTCTTCAGCTATTTATAAAGTCACAATTTATAGAATTACAAACCTGCTCCTTTCTTTAATAAATTTCTTAACAAATTTGATATACTATTACTTATCTTTGAACATATTTTTAAACCTTGTTGATATATTCATTCAAAAATGGTTTTTATCAACGAGCAAGAATATACATGATACTTTATTTATTAAAAATAATTGGTGTTGGTTAAAATGAATATTGAAATTTATTTTACCAATATTTTTTTTACGATTTCGTTGCTCCTTCTTCTGTCGAAACCACAAAACATTTTACTCACTTGCTAATCTTCTATCGGTAAAATAGCGCACTAGAAAGCTGGAGAGCAACTTTCGCTAACAGAAACAACTGCAGAACCGTTTACAAATTCTACAAATTCATACTACAGTACTAAAGATGGTTACATGTAGCAAAATACATGCGATTCTAATTATTAACAAATTGATTATTATAGGAGTCAGTGACTGACGTTTTAAGTTTAATTTTACAATTAAGGAAACTAAGAAAATTCAAACTTTTTTGATAGCATTATTGTGCCAGGAACTTAAAATAGTATATTATAAATATTTTCTAAATATGTTTATTTTCATTGTGATAGTTAATGTTGAAGGTTCGAATAATATTTCTTTACATTTAATCTTTTAGTTCACTAAATTAATATTAGTATAATAATATAATAACATAAATATTTCAATGTAGCACACTTATTATGAATGAAAGTAATAATTATTCTAAAAGTACTAATCTTTCCAAAAATCATTTTTTATATTTCCAAAAATAAATAAAAGAACAAATATGTGCTCCTATTAAATGAATTAATAAAATTAAATGAAACTACTCTCTTTAAAAGGTTGCATTGTTACACTGTCATAAAGTTACCTTATGAAACGAATACTCCCATATTTGAAACAAGAGATTTCCATAGTCACAGATAAATATTAGCTTGCCACGCATGTCAACAAACAGCAGTATCACATGGAATCTAGTCACGCATTTTTTTGAGAAATAAAAGTGGCTGAAATTACCCCGCTTTCCCCTAGTTTACTAAACGACGTACTTCCGTTTCTTCGAAAAATATTGCAATTGGTCAGAATTGTTAACGAGAAAGAGATTACCAGTTTGTCAACTATTTTATTCAAGATTATAATAACAATTCATAAAATATTTTTTGATGATTACGAAACTTTAAATTTTCGAATTTCATTACAATAAAATTTAATTTACTCTGTTGTACAAAGTAATATTAAATATTAAATATTACTCTACAAAATAATTTTTTTAATTTTCCAGAATGTAAGTAAAAATTTAATAAGTTAGATCTAATAATTGTAATAAATTTTTTCGTGAATTCAAGTTTATTGAAAATGTACACAAGATGTATATTATAGTAAATTATGCGTTCTAGCTTCTCAAAAAAAATTTGAGTCATTTCGTCCAATTTTTAAAAAGTTATTTTATTCTGAAAGATAAACTAAAACCACTATTGTTTATTTGTAAAATGATATTCTGAATGATAACGATAAAATATCCTGAATGTATAATAATAATAATAATCCTAAACTTAATGTTCTTCAAAATAAAATAAAAATTTTCTTTTCCCTTACCACTCAATTCCGTTCCATAATTGCGTATCAAAACGAAACTTAAAAAACAATATCTCTCGTAACAATTTAGCTCGCTGCGATTGATTTAATACTTTAACCAGATCCTTTCGTTTTCAATCACTTTCACCGATGCAGTCGTACTCTACTTTTACTACAAAAACGACTTTGTTTGTAGTTAAATATATCCGCTGAAATACCGTTTCCTGTTCATTATTCGATACCCTGCATTTATCTTCGTTTCCCTTCTCCGCGAATAAATCTTCCAATTTGTATCACTTACCATTGTTTCGGCATTTTGTATACGCAAAAGTTTCACAGAAGTATAAAAATATTCCACGAAACACTTAAATTCTACGAATTCTATTTATGGAATCAGTGAAAACGTATCAATTGGATAACATACATCTTCAGTGATGTAATGTTTGCACGGACATCCATGTTTTCCATTTCTAACTTCTTTTCACGGAAGCACCTTTCGCGTGCGCTTAACCACTGTAAAATACAAACAGAAAATAGGCTGCTGTCAGAAATAAGCTCGTTAATGATCGCTTGTGATAATTACGCGTTTCCGAGAACGAATGCTCCGGTAACTTCGTTCCAGTACTCGACTGTCTGAGAGCACAATTTTGAGATCACCTCGTTAAGCATAAAATGGCGTACGGAAATAAAAAGAGAATTACGTCTTGCTTCTGTAATATCGTTTATCTAGCTTCAACATCAGTGTTATTTAATTTAACGTTATTTCAATGTTATTTAATTTAATGTTATTTCAAAGTTATTTAATTTCATGTTTATAATTGAAAGAAAATTAAAAATGGATACTGAGTTATCGTTAAATAGTTCAATTGAAAGGATTGTTATTTGTTAAGGAATTGTTTATGGTACATTTTGACTGGAACAGTGTAGCATACATTTTTTGGTCTTTTTAATTTTTTGAAGATTAAAATTTGAAGATGAACAACTTGTGACGAAATTATAGCCATTGCAAGTTTAGAGAGAAAAATTTATATGTATGATTTGTTAAACTAAATTAACCACTATCTTATTAGTAGTAATAATCACTGTTTAATAGTAATAAAGAAATAAAAATTTTAGGTCTTCGATATTATGATTGCGTAACACATATTTTGATTTAAAACAAATTTTGAGGTTAGGAAGCTACACCTCCTTTTACCTAGACAAATAAAAAACAAAACGAGTGTCCACATCTTCTTCGTCTATTTTAAAAAAAGTTACAAAAGAAAGATTAAATACAGTAAATAAAACTACTACACCATCTTCCTCTATTTTAATAAAATTCGCAATAAAAAACTAAATTCAGAAAATGAAACTAATATATTGCGTTACATTTTAAATTATTTTACCGATTCTCAGCAGTTCAAGTAACCTGCACACCTCGACGTAATTAGTAGAAATAGGAAGTGCAAACGGCTCTTACGTTCGAAAATTCAAATCGTCAATTAACTTACCTGAAACGGAGTTACGAGACGCAAGGAAAGTCGTTCGATCGTTCGTGTAACTGCAAAAAACCGCGGAAGCAGTTGTACATCGAATACCTGTCATACTTATGATTCTCTTGCACGCTTTTACTTTCCTTTCGTCGAATATCGTTATTCGGGTATCGGGTGAAATAAACGACACATTCTCGTTACAATACATATTTTTTTTCTCTTTCGATCACGTTTAGAAATAATATAAAAATAACTATAAACGTAAAGGGGTTCGTATTCCTTACCGTAAAAGTACTGAACGTACAAATCGCTAGATAGACGCTAAGTACATTAATGCTAAAGAAAGTATTTACAACGTGAGTAGACATAAAGTGCATATCGACACTCTTTCGATACCATCGACAAGAAGAAAAGCTACAGAGTTACATCGTTACATAATTCTTTTAACGCTGTAATTATTTTCATTTTTAGGACTCTTGTTCTTATTTCGTCTTGTGAGGTTTAGGAAATTTGTTCATTTTTTTTTGGTACGTTTTGATCGATCACTTCTGTTGTGATACTGATACAGTTTACACTACAATTCATTTACTGCCATTTTGTGTATAAAAGAGTTTTGTGCAGTAAAAATGTTATGTTATGTAAGGTATATACTGGAACGGTATTAAAATTAAATTGTTATGATATGGAGAGGTTAACTGCTACAGTGCAGCCATATTTAATAGCAGACTGACTACCATTTTGTGGCTGCAAGCTTGATTGATCAGTATTTTGAATTTGAATGAATTTTAACTTTGAAGACAAATTTTCTCCAAAAAGATAATAGTACTTGAACTATTATTTAATACTTGAATAACACATCTTGAAAATATGGTACTAAAACTGTTATTCAGCAATTCAGATAAAAATTGCTATTTGATCCACTTGTAACCTTACAAGTTCAGCTAACTTCCAAATTGTCCTTCCTACATTTCTCACTCGAAACGTAACAAAAAAAACCTTGTCAATTTTCCAAAATCCACAAGATGAGTCAAGAATAAGAGTTTGAACTTTCCACCAATCGAAAGTGAATCTAAAATCCCTATTTCTGTGAACGCTTGTTCTGCGAACGCTTGTTCTTCCTTTACCCAGATAATTCTTGCGAGTTGTATTTTATGCCCGTCAACGCTTAACCGCTAATTAAATAGACACGATAAATATAACGAACTTGACAATAACCGACCTGTTGTCTCGTATCGGAGAAAGCATTCGTAAAAGTGCCGCCATAGAACCTTTCGGCTGCGTGTGAAATCTTTTCACGTGATCGCGAGGGTACACGCCTTTCGATCTGCCCCACGTGTTTCCACACGGGTTTACAGTGCATACAAGTGTGCATAGCTTTCCACGGAATCGAGTCGTAGGACGCATTAGATTCGAATCGATTCTCACACTTGCGACGAAGGGGAATGCAAATAGAAAGTTCTTCGGGGCCGGGTAGAATGTCCCTGCAAGTCAGACCACGCCAATGAAAGTATGCTACAGTTCTCCTTAGACGGTTCCGGATTTAACCTTACCGGCTTGCAAAATTTATGGAGAACGTTGCAAAATCGCGTTAATTTTGTTACTGTGGTCTTGTTTCTGCTTTAGGGTTGAAATTGGAAGCTCTACTTTTGGGTTGAAATTACTGTCACAATTTGGTACTAAGTCTATCGTTCTTATGCAATAACTGAAATGTATATTGACAATTACTTAACTTATCAAGTATTAAATATGGGGTTTGTTAATTAAGAATTATAAAACAGTCTTAATTGAAGCTTGACTTCATAAAAAAAATGGAAGATCATTTGCGTATCTACAATCTCAAAAAAGCTATTAATAATGTTAAAAGGAAATGTGGAAGAAAATTAGTTTAAGGTCAATCCTTTTAATCCAACTGTGTCTTCAAACACATACCGCAGAAAGCATAAAATTTGTAAATTTGTGAATTCAAAGGGAAAATGCATGGAGGTAGAAAATATAAGATAAGGATGACAAGGGGTGATCAAAGCTATAAAAATTAATTTTGTAAATTTAAAACTGATCTCTACGTCTGTGTTTTTTAGTGGAGCTACACCTGCTATGTTGAACGTATTAAAAACGTTTTTAGCTTCAATACAATACTTGTAAATTAAGTACTTGTCAATTGAGTATTTTCTTAATTCACCTCTCAGCTGTTGCATAAAAAAACGAAAATTGATTTTTGGACACTGAAATATCGTCACTCTGCAACAGATGCACTTCATCGGCACACAGATTGTTATATGTATCTATCGCACAATAGAAATTCAGCCATTTAATAAATTATTATGCATATCGAGAAATCTCCATGCAACAAATCTGATCCCGAATGGTTACACAATACCGAAGGAAAATTGTATAAAAATTGCAAGAGAAACTTCGTTAAGAAACATCAAATCCAAAGCAATCTTGTTATTGAAGGTTTCGCAAGCTCCGACTGTCACGTCTTAATAACGTTTTCTTTATTCAAATTTTTCGCAATGCTCATAGAAGGAAATACCCGCATCCGTATTACTAAAGCTTCCTTTATAAATAAGGACCTGATCAATTCAATTCTGCACTTAACTGTTACGTATTTCCTATGAATCATTCCTGTGGGAAATCGTTTTCCGATTGTCGAACCGTTATTATGATAGCGAACCTTTCAATCCTACGGACTGGCGTTTTGTAAATCGGTCAGTGCGTAGGTCGGGATCGTGCTTGAAATGTTTTCGTGTATACACGATGAATATTCTAGTCATGGCGTGGAATCTGTGCGGTGTAGCATGTTACCGTATACGACGAGAAATTACTATGGTAATGTGTCTCGTGTGCGTCGGTATTGCGTTAGGTCATTGACTTTCACTCTCTAACGACAGTTGATCTAAACATGAAATGTGTTTCAAAAGTTTGCTCTAAAAACTGATATTTTACACATCATTAAATATCGAACATTTTATTATAGATTATTTATGAAATGGCATCATAAATTAGGTTTATAAAAGAAATTACTTAACCCTTCGTTCCGATACAGTAATCATAATTTTATCAAATTTCGGAAGCAAAGTTCTTAGAGGTATATGCAAGTTTTCATCAGTTTTGTAATTTTAATATTTTATGGATGGTAAGAAATATATAAAAATATGACAAGATAAAATACTCGTGATAAAAACTTTTATATACTGCTTTTCACATTCTTAGAAAATATTTTTTCGTGTTTTTAGGTCTGTATATTGGTTAGCAGTAATATGCCTCAGTTAATGCAGTTTTCAAGAGGGTCACCCCGTGAATGACTATGTCTTCTGAGAGTGTTCTTATAAGCCCTTTGTAGCAAAAGAGTTAAGGCGATTAGTTTATTCAAATTGTGATTGCAAACTTTAGTTTACTAAAAATTTTCCAAAAAGTAACTCTTGGTTCATCATAACTCGCAACTTGGATAGACATCCAGTAAAAAACGTTAAATATGCGATTTTGGAAGTTAATACTATCACAGTACCAGTGTTATGTCAACGTTCTTATAGTGTGCTTTGGTCGATATTGTCAACGTTGTTATGTTTACGCTTCTGCAAAAAACCGATGTTCGCAACGCGACAGGAATTCTGGTGCCGATGTTTTGTGCACTGAACACAACATTTCAAGGAGCATAAAATCGCGCATACACATAATACAAAAACAAATGAAACCGTAAACAATTGCATAACATATAACATTAACGACATAAAAAAAAGTCAACCTCAAAATTTCGATTGCTCCTTGACATTAAATATCCGCAAGGTGCCTGCTTAATGAACAATATTCTTAACGGCCACGCGCCAGGCCCATTAGCAGCACCGTAAAAAGTCGCCGACTAAATATCAGATTAAAGAAAGATAACTCCCTGTATAAATTTCACAAATCGAAAAGACTCACTCGCTAAATTGAATCAGTAATGAGCGGCACTGGCTCGAAGATATTGATCGATCTGACCTACAGAAAGAGGTGCACTGGCTGCGTTCGAGGACCTTGCTGGTGCAACGTAGTAGAACGACTGGGGTTGTGTCTGCGACTCTAGCAGTTGAAGCCTGTGCGACTGTGCGGGCTGCTGTTGCTGTTGCTGCTGCTGCTGGCGTCTCTGCTGCTGAGCGTACAGCTGCTGCGATTGCTGCAACAGCTGGGACTGCTGTTTCCTGTACAACACTTCCTGGGGTTGGTTGACGGCCGGGGAGGGTTGGGCCTGGGCCGGTTGCTTATAAAGCGGGGACTGACGCTGGGGCTGCTGGGGCTGGAGCTGCTGCAGCTGCTGCAGTCCAAGGTAGGACTGTGGCTGGGCTACGAACGGTTGGAGTTTGTGACTTAGGGTGAAGTCACCCACGGTTTGGGGTAGTGACTGATAAAGTTGGGTATTGTACTGACCGGTAGAGGGATCGTACACGAGCTCCGACTGGTAGATGGGGTCTGCGGCGGAAGCGGCGATCGGCGCTTGCCCGGCTAACCTTACTTTCGATGGTTCGGGCGACTGCGCGGGCTTGGGACTGGGCACACCGACAGTGTTCACGTAACGTTCGAGTTCAGCGGCAAAGTCAAGGTGAGCTGCGCTAGAGACCGTTGTGCTTCGTAGATTGGGCGATGCAGTGACTGCCGGGCGAGTATAGGACAAAGCTGCGCGCTCGGTGCTACTGGGGGACACGTACTGGGCAGCCACTTGTGCAACGTGGGGTCTGGGGGTGATTGCGACGGATTGAGGCTTCGGGTGACGCGTTACTGGACGACGGGTCGTCGTTTCGAGGGTCTGATAGGCCGTTGAGCCGACAGTTGGTTGGGTGCGAAGAACGGGCGACGCTGTGCTTTGATATTGGTTCGTGGAGGAAGCGAGTCTGTAGAGGCCAGGACTGGCTGTGGGTGACGGTTCGTAGAGAGCTGTCGACGGCGTCACTTGAACGTAGGTTGGCTGTTGAGGCGCTCTGTATTGTGCTGGTCTTAATTGCGCTGGCTTAGCATAGTCGTCCTCGCTCAACTCCTGACTGGCATCATCGTCCAACTGATACTGCGTTTGGAAAATGGTGGTAGGTGCTCTTGTCGTCGATTGCTGATAAGTCGGTCTCACAGGCACCGGTCGTGGTACTGGTCTCACAGAAGGGTAGTTAGCTGGTCCAGACAGATCATCCTCCTCCTGTTTCTCGACATCTTCTTCATCGTCTTTCGGTGCGTTCGGGTCGCACGGATTTCCGGACACGTACGTGAATTCTCGCTTGTTGCCGTCAGGGTCTATGTAACCGTATTTACCGCGCACCACGCAATCGGTGCCGCGAGTTTCCTCCTTGAATGAACCATCTGCCGCCTCGTAGCCGAAAGTGAAAGATCCATCGTCGTTGACCTTGTTGTAATTGCGAATTGTCTGGACTGGTGGTGGCTTGGATGAGTGCAAAGCGTCCTTCGAGCGTGGCGAAGGAAGGGCACGGGTTCGCGGCTGGTAGACTGCTGGGTTGTAATCGTCTTCGTCCGCTTGACTATCTTCTTCGTAGTAAACTTGCGGCTCGGCGATGCGGGGCCGGAGCTCCACACGTTTCGCCTCTGTCAGCAGTAGTAAGCATAGTGGGATTACCTGAAATTTAACGTTGTTTTGTTAAAATTGGAATATACTAGTTTCAAAATAAGTGAAGGACTCATATCAATATACAGGATGTATCAGTTTATAGCACAAGACTTCAAATGAGTTCATGGGTTGTAAGTCGAAGGGTAAATAACTGTTAACTTACTGAAGTAAATAACTTCTTAGGTCCTACTTGATTTTGTTCATAAAAATGATACACCTCATAAATGTAATCTTGTCAAATAAGTACAAAAAATCCAAAAGTCAGTCCATTTAAAAAAAGGGAAAATAAATAATCTAATCTAAGAAAAAATCTAAGGGCTAATAGTTCAAATCTAAACATCTGAATAAACTGAACGTCATAGTGAAAACCAGCTTCTACTCCAAATTACAGAAAGTGAATTGAAAGGGTTGAAGTCACGAAAAAGTAAAGCTTGTTTGTTATTGTCGAGAAGTACCAAAGACGGAAACGTTAGTATCGCATCACGCGATTGGTAATCGAAATTACTGGATTAGAATGTTGGCAGACCAGCCTGTTATTCTAGTTTCCAGCCACGAAACCGGATCTGCATCGGTTTATAGCGAATAGGAAGCAGAAGATGGCGAGGAGAGAGCGAGTTTCGCGGATCGGTGAACTCGAGTACGCGCGAATGGCATGTGCGGTAAAATTCCTTATCGCTCGCTCGAACCAGGCCTAATGTTGCTGACCGTTAAGGTGTACGCCATCAGCCATGGCAAGGAAGGAAAGTGTTATGGCAAAGTTGGTGCAATGTTACGAGACGCGGAATTACCGCTATTCCACGCGATCACTTTTATTACGGATCTCCGGCGATATCGTTTTATTATGTAAAATGGATATGATAAATGTTTGCGACGCCATGAGCTTGAATACGCATGGAATGATGTCAATGTTAAATACTATTTTCCGTTCTTCCTTGTTTATGAGAAAGGGAGTCGTTATGCATTACTTTGTTTTATCTCCCTGCTGTATAATATCCTGTCACAATGTAGTTCAAAATGTAGCTCAAACACAATATAGTTCAAACTTATATTTTTACCATAATTGAATTTTGGATCCAATTCTGTTATCTGAATAATCACAGAGAAATATGCAGAAGACTTTAATTTCTGTTAATTTTTATTTTAATGTAATAATTAATTGAATGAATGACGCAAGTGTTTAAAAGATTGTAGGTTGAATTTTTCCCGAGCATTTGGTGACAAGTATATGCTGTCGCAACAGCGTGATTGTAATGCTATTAGAAACTGCAGTATTGCCGATGTCGATCAGAAGAAAATGTATCAGAATTGAAGGAATTCCATGTCTCCGGTCATGAGAAATCACGTTGTCGTAAAATATGGAAAGTTTTGATTTATTATACGATGGCATTGTGCAATCGCAATACTGAAATAGAAGGAACTGTGATTTGTAAAATCTGTTTGATATACAATACATAACTGGAGAGCAGGAATAAAATGGGTGCATAAATCAGTTGCATGTTCGAAATCATTTGTGCATATGGGAACATCTGGAGTCTGAAGATCAAACATTAGATGAAATTACAATTTTTAAGTTAATCAGTAAATTCTGAGGGTTTACATCTTAAGATGTAGATTGGAATTGGAATTAGATTTAATTAAAATTAGATTGACTTAGGTTAATTTATATCTTAGCGTGTAAATTAAAATTTGATTATAATTGGTAAGCAGGTCAGGTATCGTGAATAAAGCAAGTTTTCTTTAGTTACAAAAATAAAGATAAAAGTGTAGGAAATAACACAGTAATTCCATTAGAAAATAAATACAGCAACATAATAGAATTCTTAACTTTCTTACAAATTCGACTTCATTCGAAATTGCATAATTTTAACAAGGAAAGAATGATAAAAGATACACACGTAACATTCTTAATAATGCACCACGTAATCAAACTTAGTTCTATTAACACCATTGAATTACCAAATCAAACTTGTTCTTCTTTACGTAACTAAAAAGAAAAGAAACTTTTGCACCTGCCATACCTGTCTCGTTAACATTTTACTCAATAAAGATTCCTACAATAAAAAACAAGTAAAATTTAATCCGTCTCATTCATAAGTATACGACAATGATCTAAGCACTTTAAATCAACAAATTAATTTATCTTATTTAATGTGTTGAAAGGAGGACAAACCTGTTACTACCCATTCATTTTTTGTGAGAGCAATTTTGAAAAATAAAAATTCACTCTTAAATTGGACAGGTTAATTTCTTTGGTTAAGTGTTAGTTGAATAGCGGAACTGGGTCAAGTATGGATCAGAGTTATGCAGGTTCGACTAATGGACACTGAAATTTTTGCTTGAGAAACTTTTGTGTATTAAAGAAACACGAGGGAATAGTTCTTGCGAACGTAAACTGACATTGCCATGTACTTGAACACTTAATATAGTTTTAGGTATCATGGCTGAAGGTTAGGTTAGGTTATTGATTATAATAGTTCTTTAGGATTTTTTCAAACATGTGATCTTGAGTGAATTATTTTATTTCATAATTTTCTGTTACTTTTTGAGATAGAGTTAGGTTTTCTTTCTGAAAGAGAGAAAACAAGTACAGAAATTAATCTCACAAGTGTCTTATTCTTATGGAGGAAGATGCTGTATGTTTCAGCTTGTATTCCATCGTGAGGTTCCTTTGTTGTTTATAGATATACAAGTCCTCCTCCTCTACATTTTTAGTTAGCTTCTTCATACGAATAGAAGTATCTCTTCCAAATGTATAAAATAATAAATTAGTTCAAATAATAAAACCTGTATATTTATTTAATAAACCCTTCCATCTCCAACCCTCTCCAGGACCACCACTCATGAGACACCCTATACAAAAGATGTTGCTACCGTCCAATTACACGTACATTTTCCTTGTAATACTTTTTGTCGCTGAATCATCCTCTCGAGATATTTTCCTATTGTAAAGACTATTTCCCATGCTGACCGTATGTCCTTATGGCAAGACGCGGTCCCGGCTTCCGGTAGATCGACTCGGTGGGAACCGCCCCGGCGTATATACGTGTTACGTAATTTCAACTGACCCGAATACGAAGCAGGATTATGGCGGCGTGCTTACCGTGAGAGATTCAGATTCAGAGCGTTGTAACTCGCTGCTGTTTCGCTACGCCGTCGCTTCTGGATCTCCTTGAACCGAGAGCAAAATGCTCGCACAAAAGACAGAACCACACCACGCCTCGCGACGACCTACAGGAAACACTGCGACTGTCGCTTTTAACGTTTCTTCACGATTCACTTTACATCTTCTGCAGCTTATCGATACCTTCGTTTGCGTTTCTTGTTCACCTTCTTATTTGTTTCACTCATTTTTTAGTGCCAGATGAAAGATTTTTTGGTTTCTGTATTGGACTCTGAATGTTATATTTTTATGTGGGTTACTCAATTTTTATGGATTTTATTGGATGATGGATGTGGAAAGAGTTGCTGGTCAGACTTTGAATTTTACATTTTTATGTCAGATGCTGGATGTTATATTTTCATGTTAGTTAATCAGTTTTAGTAGATTTTATTGGATGGTGGATGTTGCAAGAGCTCCTGGTCAGACTTTGAATTTTACATTTTTATGTCAGATTCTGGATGTTATATCTTCATGTCAGTAACTTAACCTTAATGGATTTTATTGGATACTGGATGTTGAAAGAGTTTCTGATCAGACTTTGTTACATTTTTATGTCAAATTCTGGATGTTATATTTTCATGTCTGACTACATGTAGTCATATCTCCTGGACCAGTTAATTTATCCTCAATTGTAAAATTGATAATTGGTTAAATTATGGATGTTACATTTTGATGTCTCACCACATGTGATCATTTCTCCTGGACCAGTTAATTTATCCTCATTTGTAAAATTGATAATTGGTCAAATTATGGATGTTACATTTTGACGTCTCACCACATGTGATCATTTCTCTTGGGCCAGTTAATTTAAATCCAATTGTAAAATTGTTAATTGGTCAAATTTTGAATGTTACATTTTGATGTCTCACCACATGTGATCATTTCTCCTGGACCAGTTAATTTATCCTCATTTGTAAAATTGATAATTGGTCAAATTATGGATGTTACATTTTGACGTCTCACCACATGTGATCATTTCTCTTGGGCCAGTTAATTTAAATCCAATTGTAAAATTGTTAATTGGTCAAATTTTGAATGTTACATTTTGATGTCTCACCACATGTGATCATTTCTCCTGGACCAGTTAATTTATCCTCAACTATAAAATTGTTAACTGGTCAAATTTTGAATGTTACATTTTGATGTCTCACCACATGTGGTCATATCTCCTGGACCAGTTAATTTATCCTCAATTGTAAAATTGTTAATTGGTAAAGATTGTATAAACCGTTATTTTGTATTATGTGTAGAATTTCAATTACCACGACTGCAGCAGACCACGTTATGAACTCAATTCCTCGGCCGTTGCATGTTACAAGAAACGTTGTCATTTCAACTATCACTTTCAATGGTTACGTAGGATCTACCAATAACCGAGATTTCCATCGCCTCGAAACCGTAACAATCCCGATTCGCTTTTTTCCGTTTTCTTTCATTCATACCTCACGTTTCCACGTTCTTTTTCTGAATCCCGACAGAATTTCTATTCTGTATTCGTTCCGCAACTTTCGAATTGCGCGACGCGATACAAAAAGATCGCACAAGCAGATGATTATTTTGCGATATATGAAAGCGTACGATCGAACGTGTAACACAAATTCCAAGGATCTACATACGGGTTCTATCGAGTTTCCGTTGCGCGGATATACAATTACGTGATGTCTTGTTTTGGTATGTAGAACCGGTGCAGAACCGATGCGGAGAAAATTCTTGCATAAAGAAAACACGCCTTCGGTGCTTATAGAAAGCGACGCCGATTTAATTACCGACTTTAATATTTATGCATGGAAGGTTACTCAAATAATAGCAGTTACTTGACTTTGTTATTCTACTTTGCCTCTTTCCGTTT